TAGACACATATATCAATTACAAGTCCATCATTGACAATGATTGTTGCAATTATTACCGGTCAAAACTTAAAAACCAAACTGTTGACTATAATTAAAACTGATATAACATGATTTAAAAACCAAAAAAATGCCTCATAAATAACACCATTAACATGCTTGTAATAAATTAGTTGTGTGGAATAACTGGAAGGACCTCTTCAAGAAAACAAATAGGGATAACAGTAAATAAAACTGGTTTTAATCAAGTAGATTCCCTTTGGAATCTGCTAGGGCTGGCTGGTTTTCTGTGTGAGTAATTAAAATTATTATTATTATATATTTATAGCAATTCAGTAAGGGACCTCGGAATAAACTAACACACATTAGTACAGCTTTTTTCCTCTTAGTTTTCAAGGGACAATTTATGACAAGACAATCTGCATCTTACATGTCAGCAATTAAACTTACCTAACAACTGCTTTGGGAGATTACGTTTGTCAGTAAATTCATCTGCTTCTTGGAGAAATTGTTTCCAAAGCATTCAAAAGCCTAAATTTTGATAAACACCATAAGTTTACACATCATGATGTGATGGAGGATTTATCAAGCTAAATTTAATTTCAAAATTGAATGGTATATCCACAATGAAACTTTTTTCTATGCATTTGTTACAAAACATAGTACTTTTTTCTATGCAAAAGTTACAAACATTGTAAAACGCTATTGAGCTCTAGAAATGAGCGCTATATTATAAATTCATGTTGCATTGTATTTGCAGTGAAATCAATGAACATGTTGAGAGCGGTGTTTAGAAGTCTTCGTAGGTTCAAAAGGGTTCTCTTTGGCTTTAAGATGGTGATGTCATGCCATTTTTTGAGGAAATGAAGATAGAAAAGAAAATGTTATTACCTTCTTTTGATATCTTCCTCTTGATTGTCGGATTCACCAGCGAAGATGGGAAAAACCAATGCAAAGCCGACACTTCAAAATGGCGGATGCCGTTCACGAATTACGCGATCTTGATTCCAAGTAACTATGGTTACTCGCGCAGTCCACGCGAATTCCGCGAACCTTGCTGGGGGGGCACTGGAGGCGAAAATCATTTTTGACCCAGGCCTTAATGAGGGAGACGTGGATCACAGAGATCTCAATCGAGTCACCGTCCCTAGTTACCTCTGGACAGCGGTTTGCTGTTATGCTTCAAGTACAACCAATCCCCAGAATGGGTTCTCATTTGCTTACATCGGCAAAAATATTGCTGACTCTTTCATGGACATTCTGAGCGCGAGTGAACTGGTTTCATTAGTTTATTAGTTTATTATTGGTTTCATTGGTTTTCATTCATTAGCCATGACCTCGCTGAAGATCGTTACGAAGCGGCCAAAAATTTTTGTTGATGACTGCAATGAAAATACGGCAAAATAAAAAACTACACGAGCTCAAGTTGTAGCTCCTGTGAACTTACGATTGGCAAATGCAGCAAATGAAATAAGAAGGTTGGAGCAGTCAGCTATTCCTCCAAAGAAACGCGAAGTCTTTCATGAGGTATTGGATTTGATTCAAAGCAGTGTATCTGCGAATGGTTATTCCCTTACTCCTGACAAGGAGAATATCTTTAACAATCAAACGCTTCCTTAGGTGGTAATCATTTCTTGTATTCTCTTGATCTTAATGTTTAAATCAAGAGTAATATCATAAGGAGATATCAGATGCTAGTCACTCTTGAGGGTCAATGGATAAATGAGGATTAATTCAGTTTAACTCCACGCGTCAATTTACGACTTCAAGACGTGAGCCAGAATTCGAAGTCAGTAATGCGTGAAAACATGCAAACAAACAAAACAAAAAAAGAAACCCTATCGGCCATGATCTTTTAAAACAAAAGCGTTACTGCGTGATGATAGCCCAGTTTCTAAATATATTTAGCTTCAGTTCATAAGGTCACTCACGTACATCCTATTTTTCTTAGTACCCTCCTCCTCCCACCCACCCCCCAAAAGGTGAAACAGAAGCGAGGGAACGTTTACGCAAACCTGACACTAATCGTGTTCCGTGACGTCACTCTTTTGCAAGAAAACGTATGATTACTTTTTATTAGTAAACCCCTTTTGCCGATTCTTTCGTCAATTCTGATTGGCGAGAATTGGTAAGTTGTTGGCATACTAACGAACAAGGTGGTGTACAAAATGTCTTTATGGTCAACTTTTAAGACAACAGCGATCTGCCCAACTCAAAATCGAAGAATTCTGAGGAATTGATATTATAGTTTCAAATAACATTCAACCGTTCCTTCCAAATATTTAACACTCAGTTTTAAAATAGCCTGAAATTCAACCTTCCACCATAGAAGGCCATATCGCTAGAAAGAATGACTGCCGACCTGAGAGTATCCCCTTCTCACCTGCTCGGAATCCCGTCACATCTTGCCCCAGAGGAGGGGGTGATGTGTGTAAAAAAACCCCGCAGACCATTTTTTTCGACCGATAAATCTGAAAAAGAGAATAGTTTGTGTTCCTACTAGCCGACGGCAATATCTAAAACTAAAGGCTCACTGATAGCTCCAGTGAATAAGATACTCACCATGACGATACCGGACGATAACCGATCGGCTTTGCTTTTCAAATCAGATTAGCTTCCGTTTTATTGGTCAGGGCCCATTTGTATAAAGGATGGATAACACTATCCAACGGATAAATCGCTACCCAGCAGATAAGTGATAGCAAAACGTATAGCGTTATCCACCGGATAGAAATTTTATCCTTTGAATAGTGTTATCTGACATTCAAACAACTGGGGCTAGGAAGTTATAGCTGACATCGATGTTTCTTTATAACATCCTACTCAACAATTCGTTGAAGGAGTATCTGCCATCGGTCTATCAAAACTTACTCAGTTTATCTAGATTTCGACACGTATGGGCGACCAAAAACTGTCCCATGTCTCCACAATTTTAGACGTGGGTTTACTAAAAAACGCACTAGCGATGAACGAAAAACTTCTGATGCTCGTCATATCAGGCGGAAATCGGTTCGCCATAGAGACAATACCTGATGTGTATCGCATTGTCGTTTCCAGCTCCTCTTCTCTTCTCGCCATGCTAGTGTGGGATATGGTGAGACCTTGGAAACCTTGTTGGGTGTTGTATTGAAAAAGTTAAATCAAAGCGTTGCAGCTCAATTCTCTGACAAAATGAACGCACAGGAAGCTCACTAATAAGTCTACTGTTAACGATATTTTGTTCACAAGAAAATCCTTACAACGTTACAATACTGGAAACAATTTTTCGAAGTATGGCAAAAAGTAGCAGTAGAAACTCCATCGGCCATATAATGACCACAGAATGCATCATTCTCAAATGTCCAAACATTAACCCATTACACCCTAACATCAGTCTGTATATTCTCCTTACTGTTCTTTATACATTTCCTAAGGTGCTGATAAGGAGAATATGTTTAATAATCAAAAGCTTCCCTAGTTGGTGATCATTTCTTGTATTCTCGTGACCTTAATGTGTAAATCAGGGGTGATATTGTAAGGAGAAATCAGATGCTGGTCACTCTTTGGGGTCAAAGGGTTTAAGAGGAATAGATCAGTTTTACTCCACACGTCAATTTACGACTTGAAAACTTAAGCGAGAATTCGAAGTCAGTAGTGCGTGAAAACATGCAAACAATTAAAACAAAAAAGAAACTCAAGCGTGACTGGGTGATGATAGCCCAGTTTCTAAATATAATTTATTTAGCTTCAGTTCATGAGGTCACGCACGTAAATCCTGTTTTCTTAGCCAGCGTTAAGCCGTACCCTCCCCCCCCCAAAACTGAAACGGAAGCGAGGGAACATCTACGCAAACCTGACACAAATCGTGTTACGTGGCGTCATTTTTTTGTGTGCAATAAAACATATAATTACTTTTCATTGGTTAACCCGAAGCTATGAAATAAAAGCTAGTTGTCTCTTGCAGCGATTCTTTCGGCTGAGAAAAGAGGTGCTCTTTCTTCACGCTTGCAGCGTAACAATCGGCTAAAAGAAATCTGTAAAAACCTTGATCTAATGGTCCAACTTTTTTCGACGACTGTAGCACTGTTTACAAATGCAAGCAGAAACCGCATGGACGTTAAAGTCTAGTTTCGCGAGAGCGATGCTAATCGAACATCGTCATCTTCTTATTCTATACCAAAAATCGCTCATAATCTTTTCCTTTATCCTGAAAACAAAGTATATATTTGAACTTGGACGCTGAATTGCAAATTTACCCGAAAAAGGGAAAATGAATTCACTTCAATGCTGTTGTTTATCTTGATAACCTTCACGTGCCACTTCGCAAAAAAATATTATCAAGCGACATTATTTTGCATAAACTGACATAATCTGACACAAGTGTCAGGTTTGCGTAAACGCGGTTACCTCGCTTCCGTTTAACCTTGCGGGGGAGGGTACGGCTACACGTAAGCTATGTTTTTCTCAGAATTTCAAACAATAGCTTTTACAGGCTGTGTTAACATGCAATTTTGTCGAACGCTGACAATGGAGTCGTTCTTGAGAAACCTCACCAAACAAGTTACTTGCTGAATTTGTCTCGAGACCTTCAAAGAACCGAAAATTATATCGTGTTTTCATACGTTTTGCTGTGAGTGTTTGGAAAAACACGCAAGAGTGAGCCAAAGACATGGAAAGTTTCGATGCCCCGAGTGTCAGGCAGAAATCCACCTGCCACAAGGAAATCGCTTCGAAGCGTTGCCAACCAGTTTTCTTCACAACAGTTTGTTGAATATCCTTGCCGTTCGACAAAGTGGCGATGGAACAAACATCACTTGTGGCAACTGTAACAAGACCAGCTCCAATGTCCATTACTGCTTTGATTGTGCTCGATTTATGTGCCCTGAATGTCTGAACGCACATGAAATTATGCGCGACGCATTCGAAGGACACAAAGTCATGCCTGTTAAAGACTTCCAAGATCAAGATTACGAGGCTTTGTTAAAGCGACAGCCCTTTTGCACCAGAAGTACCACGAGCGAGAGATGACGAGATTTTACTGCCTCCAGTGTCAATGTTGTGTTTGCCATCTTTGCATCGTCACGGAACATAAAAGCCATGAGGTTATTTTACTTGACGAAGCAGCTGACAACGAGAAAGGAAATATCATGGCAGATGTTTTAATGAGCCGAACAAGGGTAAAAGATTTAAAGGAAACACTTCAACAATTCCAAAACACAGCAAACAGCCTGCAAGAAAATGCCCGTGTCGCTAAACGCGGAGTTTCGCAAGAAGCCGAGCAGAAGATCGCAGAGATTCGAGAGCGCGAGCGACAAGCCATTGAATCAATCGACACAACGTGCGTTGCGAGACTCCAAAAAATCAACTCGGCTCGACAGGCAGTAGAATCTCTGATGAAGCAAAACAACAAAGTCGCCGACTTTGCCGAAAACTTGGTGCAGAAAAGCTCCAGCTGTGATATCATGCAAAACAAGCACAATTTAAAACAGAGATTTGAGGAGCTTCGAGGAATCCAAGCTGCACAACACCATCAGACCTCGTTCATCAAGTTTTACCCCACTCCTGCTGTAGGCTCCAACTTGGGCGACATTTCCACCGAAGACAAAGCAGACGCAAGTTGGTCCACTCTAGAGGGACTGGATCAAACTTTTCAGGCTGGTTTAGAGGCAAAGTTTATTTTATGCCCCAAAACGCCTGATGGAGAAATCAGTAACCAGCCTGATCTCAAACAGCAAATTGAAGTTCTCATACAACCAGCCAAAGATGTCACACAAGTCACTGTTTGCAACACAGACAACGGGAGATTCGAGGTCAAATTTATACCCAAAAAGTACCCGGTGCTTACAGCATTGAAATGAAGATTAATGGAGATACACTCGCCAACTCTCCGTTCACTGTGGCGGTGAAGGAGCGTGAACTTATCGTGGTCGGTGAGTTGGATCTGGATTTATTAGAAGGAGATCAGGTCGGCCGTCTATTTGGAATCGCGGTAAATGCGATAGGGAATATTGCGGTAACTGACATTTGTAAAAACTGTGTTTACATATTCGATAAAAATGGTAAATGTCTGAGAAAAATTGGAGTTAAAGGGCAATTTAAAGACCCATGTGGCGTGACATATTTGAACGATGACGAGATTTTAATTACAGACACAGTTAACAGCAGAATACAACAAATTAATATCCAGACAGGAACTGTTGTGAAAACTTTAGGAAAAGCAAGCGTAGGAGAGGTTTATCGCCCATTGGATGTTTGTTTGGATAAAGAACGTCGCATTGTTGTAACCGAGTTTTCGATTGGTAGCATACAGGTGATGTCACGCGAGGGAGAGACTATTTCTATCTTTGGAAACATCGGCCCAGAAAAATTAAACAACCCAAGGAGCTGTTTGCCTTACAAAAACAACTTTTTCGTCTCCGATAGCGGTGATCAATGCATCAAGGCTTTCGACAAGTCAGGAACATTCTTACACAAGTTTGGCAAACTAGGGAATCAAGATGGGCAATTTAACAACCCGAAATGTTTGCTTATAGACAGCTTCAATAATCTTCTGGTTTGTGATAAGTTCAATAATCGAGTTCAGCAGTTTTCTCTGGACGGTCGCTTCACCGGTAAAAGTATCACTTATTTACCTTATCCTCGTGGAATAGCAGCAACACCAGATGGACGTATTCTCGTGACTACCACTAAAAAGATTTTCATATTAAAGTAGCTGTTTCAATAGACACTTATTTGCTTCGCAGGTTGTATTCTACTTCTAATGACCCGAACTGTTTCTTTCCTAAAGTGCAATAATCGGAGACTAGAATTTGTAAGTTTATTCTTCTTCTCGAAGAAGCTTTGTCAAATACAACTGAATTAATTAGCTTTGAGATTTTAAATTTGGTTTGCTGGTGGCGTTTATGCGTATTCGTAATAATGTAGCACGTGTAAATGTTAAAAGGATTCTGATTGTCAAAGAATATTTTGCCTTTAGTACGTCGCGTTCAATACATTATTTTCTTTCAATAACTAAGCAGTATTTGCATATAAATTACCCTGTCTAAACATTAACCCTTTCCACCCTAACACCAGCGTGCATTTTCTCCTTACTTTTCTTTATACATTTCCTAACGTGCTAACAAGGAGAATATGTTTAATAATCAAACGCTTCCCTAGTTGGTAATCATTTCTTGTATTCTCGTGTCCGTAATGTTTAAATCAGGGGTGATATTATAAGGAGAAATTAAATGTTAGTCACTCTTAAAGGTCGCAGAATTAATGAGGAACAGATCAGTTTAACTCCAAGCGTCAATTTACGACTTAAAAATGTAAGTGAGAATTCGAAGTCAGTAATGTGTGAAAACATTTACCAACGGTTGCCTTGTTAGCTCAGTTGGTAGAGCGCTGCACCGGTATCGCAGAGGTCATGGGTTTAAATCCCGTACAGGCCTGAATTTTTTTTCTACTGCCCAAGTAGTGCACATTACTGCGAGGATCACTTTCATTCACATCTTTATCCGCAGTTCAAATATATGACTTTCATATATTCTTAACCGTATGAAAAGAAACCTTATCGGCCATGATCTTCTACAACAAAAGCGTGACTGCGTGATGATAGCCCAGTTTCTAAATATATTTAGCTTCAGTTCATAAGGTCACTCAACTACATCCTGTTTTTCTCGGAATTTCAAACAATAGCTTTTTCAAGCTGTGTTTACAAGCAATCTTGTCGAACGCTGACAATGGAGTCGTTCTTGAGAAATCTCACCCGACAGATTACTTGCTCGATTTGTCTCGAGACCTTCAAAGAACCTAAAATTATATCGTGTTTTCACACGTTTTGCTGTGAGTGTTTGGAAAAACACGCAAGAGTGAGCCAAAGGCATGGAAAATTTAGATGCCCCGAGTGTCAGGCAGAAATCCACTTACCAGAGGGAAATCGCTTCGAAGCGTTGCCAACCAGTTTCTTTCACAACAGTTTGTTGAATATCCTTGCCGTTCGACAAAGTGGCGATGAAAAAAACATCACTTGTAGCAATTGTAAGAGGACAAGCTCCAATGTCCATTACTGCTTTGAATGTGCTCGATTCATGTGCTCTGAATGTCTGAACGCACATGAAATTATGCGCGATGTATTGGAGGGACACAAAGTCATGCCTGTCAAAGACTTTCAAGATCAAGATTACGAGGCTTTGTTAAAGCGACAGCCCTTTTGCACCAAGAAGTACCACGAGCGAGAGATCACGAGATTTTACTGCCTCCAGTGTCAGTGTTGTGTTTGCCATCTTTGCATCGTCACGGATCATCAAAGTCACAAAGTTCAATTGCTCGACGAAGCGGCTGACAACGAGAAAGGAAACATCATGGCGGACGCCGCAGAGAGCCGAACAAGGGAAAAAGATTTAAAGGAAACGCTTCAACAATTCCAAAACACAGCAAACAGCCTGCAAGAAAATGCCCGCATCGCTAAACGAGGAGTCTCTCAAGTAGCCGAAAAGATGATCGCAGAGATTCGAGAGCGCGAGCGGAAAGCCATTGAATCAATCGAGACAACGTGCGTCACGAGACTCCAAAAAATCAATTCGACCCGACAGGCAATAGAATCTCTGATGAAACAAAACAACAAAGTTGCCGACTTTGCCGAAAACTTGATACAGAAAAGCTCGAGCTGGGACGTCATGCAAAACAAGCCAAATTTGAAGCAGAGATTTGAGGAACTTCGAGGAATCCAAGCTGCACAACACCATCAGACCTCGTTCATCAAGTTTTACCCCACTCCTGCTGTGGGCTTCAACTTGGGCGACATCGCCACCGAAGACATAGCAGACGCAAGTCGGTCCACTCTAGAGGGACTGGATCAAACTTTTCAGGCTGGTTTAGAAGCAAACTTCATTCTATTCCCCAAAACACCTGATGGCGAAATAAGTAACCAGCCTAATCTCAAACAGCAAATTGAAGTTCTCATACAACCAGACAAAGATGTCACACAAGTCTCTGTTTGCAACACAGAAAACGGGAGATTAGAGGTGAAATTTATACCCAAAGTACCCGGCGCTTACAGCATTGAAATGAAGATTAATGGAGATACACTCGCCAACTCTCCGTTCACCGTGGCGGTGAAGGAGCGTGAACTTATTGTGGTCGGTGAGTTGGATCTGACTTTATTAGAAGGAGAACGGGTCGACGATCTATTTGGAATCGCGGTAAATACGATGGGGAATATTGCCGTAACTGACAATGGTAAAAACTGTGTTTACATATTCGATAAAAATGGTCAATGTCTGAGAAAAATTGGACTTGAGCAATTTCGAGACCCACTTGGCGTGACATATTTGAACGATGACGAGATTTTGATCGCAGACGCTGGTAACGGTGGAATACAACAAATTAATATCCAAACAGGAACTGTCGTGAAAACTTTAGAAAGAGCAGGTGTAGGAAAAAAAGTGATTGATGTTCCTTGGGATGTTTGTTTGGATGAAGAACGTCGCATTATTGTAACCAAATTTTGGAAAAGTAGGATACAGGTGATGTCACCTGAGGGAGAGACTATTTCCATCTTTGGAAACATCGGCCCAGAAAAATTAAACAAGTCAAAGAGCTGCTTCCCTTACAAAGACAAGTTTTTCATATCCGATAGCGGAAATCATTGCATTAAGGCTTTCGACAAGTCGGGAACATTCTTACACAAGTTTGGCAAACAGGGCAATCAAGATGGACAATTTGACAACCCATATGGTTTGCTTATAGACAGGTCCCATTGCCTTTTGGTGTGTGATCAGTTCAATCATCGAGTTCAGCAGTTTTCTCTGGACGGTCGCTTCACTGGAAAAAGTATCACTCATTTAAGTAATCCTCGTGGAATAGCAGCAACACCAGATGGACGTATTCTCGTGACTACCCCTAAAAAGATTTTCATATTAAAGTAGCCGTTTCAGTAGACACTTATTAACTTTGCAGTTTGTATTCTACTTCTAATGGTCCGAACGTTTTCTTTCCTTAAGTGCAATAATCGGAGACTGCAATTTGTAAGTTTATTCTTCTTCTCGAAGAAACTTTATCGAATACAACTGAACTAATTAGCTTCGAGATTTTCAATTTTGTATGTTAGTGGCATTTATGCATATTCGTAATAATGTAGCAAAGGAAAATATTATAGGATTGTGATTGTTAAAGAATATTTTGCACTAAATACGTTGCATTATGAACATTATTTCCATTCGATAACTTAACAGTAATTACATATATATTGCTTTCTTCTACAAGAAAGGGTGAAAGGGTGACACAATAGACGAGTGCCATGTGACATCCGGTTCTTTTAAGATCTCGCTCCCCTTAAAAAAAATAAATAAACACACAGACACAAAAACAACCACTTTATGCGATTGCGTGACTTTATAAGGTTAACCCTTTAACTCCCAAGATCTGACTGTTAATTCTCCTCTCTTGCTGCTACACATTTCCTTGTAAATATGCAACAAGGGTTTGGTGTTATAATGTGGATCACGATAACAACTTCTATCTGATAAGTTTGAATATTCCCCTAACCTGTTTGCTGGAAAATTTTTAGATATTATAGTGAGAAGTTACATGTGAATCACTTCCGGGTTAAAGAATAACTTTTTTACAATTCTAATTGTCTTCTTACTTGAAGGTGCTTGTAAGACTGTTCTTTATTGTTCTTCCCATTGCTGTAGTGAGAGAGAGGGATTGGAGAGAGGATGTTTTTGAGACATCAAAATATGCCTTTATTTGGCAGATGGACATCAGTGAAAATAGATACAAATAAATCAAGACATATTCAACATATTCGAATGTGCTCTGTTTTGTCGTAAAGCACATAGGAAGCGGCTAGAGCACGAAAGAAGTGTAGAGGCAAATCCGAGACGTAGTCGAGTGTCTCAACTTCTTGAGTGCAACTGAGAGTATGATCTGCTGGTCTTATTCAATCAATCAGATTATTCTGTTAATTAAAAGCTTTCAAAAATGTTCAACCATCAGCAAGGTTGATCTGATGCGAATTACAGAATTCTAGAAAAATGTGAGCGCAGCGCATTTATATTACTTGTTCACCAATCGAACAGTGTTCCACTGTGAAAAAGTATTCCTGTTCTCGTTCGGTGGTTCCACCAACAGAAAATAAACCAATGTTCAACTAATTCAGTGAAATTAACAAGATTTTATTTCAAAAAAAAAAATTTATGATTTTAGCTATAGCCAGACTTTTTGTTTTTCTCTTAACAGCTCCTGGTAGCCGCTGACACCAGATCTAAGACAAATATGGAGACAGCTTCCCAGCTAAATGAACGCTACAAGACTGTACAGCCGATAAACGTAGACTACTGTAACACAGGTTAAGACAGGGGTCACCTCAATCCAAACTTCTATCAATGTGGAAAAGGAAGAACAGCAACTTTTACCTTGACAAATGCCGTTTCAAGATCCCTGCTTTAACCAGCAGTCGTGGAAGAAAATGGAAGAGGTCGCTTTGAAAACAATGAGGAAAGATTGCTCTTTTCCCGGCGCCAGACGTTATTTTATGACGGGAATTGTTTAGCAGGGAGTACGAATTCCAAACAGAGAACATGACCTGGAAGGCTCAGGTTAATTAAGGCCTGAGTCACCCTGTCTTTAACCCATATTTTCACAAAATTGAGAATAACTTAGCTATTTTGCGAGGGATTTTTCTCATACTTGGCAGAAATGTGTATCACTACCCTCTCTCTCGGACTGAATTGTGGCAGCGTAATATGATACTCTCAACAGCCAAAAACAGTTAATTTAGGCGCCAAATTCGTCGGTTGCTTTCTTGAGCAAATTCCCACCATTAAACACGAGGCAAATCAAAATGCAGTTATCGCTATGAATATTTGAGACGTTTTTCATTGTTTTCCCACTTGGAATGGCTGCAAAAAAAGATGTGCTAGGCAGATTAAATCAAGTTTTGTCTCTGCGAAGCTGCTTCCTCTATCATGGTTTTCGCCCGAAAACATCTTAGCCTTTACCTGGTTCCAACCGCTATCAACGAAAGTAATCCCACAGGTTCCTATTTATTTGGAAAAAAGACAAATTAAAACTGTTTAAGAGGTGGGAATTTTGAAAACTCGCAGTCACGTAATTCAACTTAGTGTCCGCCATTTTGACACGCGAGTCACGCGAGTGTTCAGAAGCAATAATTTAACGGCTGATACACTACCAAATACTAATTGGAGCAATCTCAGAAGTAATACAGGCAAACTTTGTATACTTTTGGTGATATTTATTTCTTTTTCTCGTTTTCTGAGGTCGATCGCATCTCTGTAAATCCAAGGTTAGATCGCCTTTGACAGTTCTAATAAAACACAATTGCAATTTTGGCGCAAAACTTGAAAGTTATCGCACTGATTCCTTGAAACTCTTCAAGGTTTTGTTCCCTAACAACGATACTACTCGATAACGAGCTAAGTGTATTCGTGTGAAACGAAAATGTCTGTCATTTTTAATTGTGCGGGATTTGCAAGAGTTGCTGTAAAGGAGAGCTTTCGTAAGGTTGGAAGTGCTTCGGTTGAAACTAACCCTAGTGAAAAGTGGAAGAACTATCTTGCAGCGTTCGAGGGTGACAGTCAGGAAGTCTTTGCGGTCGAACGTTCCACCTACGTCAAGAAATCCAAAGCAATTTACAGCTCTTTCCGAAAGATGAACTCAAAAGCCAGGGCCCAGTACCAAGACACGTTTTCAATGGTAAACTGGAAAGCGCTTAATACAGCGCAGAAGAAACAGCACACACTGTCAAATTGTGGAGGTTGTCAAGTGCACTATTATGCCATCCATAATTTTTTCCCAAGTGGAGAAACTTTCAAAACCCGAAAACTTTTAAAAGAGGCCCTTATTGAAAGTGGGGTGAAGACACAAAGTAAAGTGAAACCAACGCAAAAAGCCATTAAAACTGCTGTAAAACACATTTATTCAAAAGTGAATGGCCACTTTGAGAAAATATTTAAAATAAGCCTTGCTGAAGCACAAACAAAAGTGAAGGAACTTCAGCTCCAAAAAAAAAGAAAGAGGCAATTGAGAAAAAGCGGCAGCGTCGAGGAGAGCACGCCAAGGAAAAAAATAAAATCCAATGCTAATGTCTAGTCCATCTGGAGGAGGAGTAATGTTTCTACTTACTTTGCAGTAATTTGCATGCCAAACAATGAGATCAACAATCTTCACCTTTACTTGTGTTGCAATCTAGCATTTATTTAAGCACACTCTGTATAATATATTTGCCTTCATTTTCCAGTTTTTTAAAAAGGAATGCAAGTACCAAATAATCCACTGTAAACTTAATCAATCATACTGAACTTCTTCCAACCAATGAAGAGAATATAATACTGGGAGAAGGATCCTATGGTCGATGCCTTCTGAGACAGTACACACGATTTGATATGAAGGTTGTGGAAAAACAGTCTCTGATGCAGGACACCACAGAGATAATGAAGGAGGCTCACATTATGCAGGCACTCGCACATAAAAATATCCCAACCATAATAGGTGTGCAGCTTCAAAAGCAGCCCATTTCCTTAATAATGGAGTTTAAAGGGGAAGAAAATACATCTGTAACAATAAGCAAACTATTATCTTGTCAGAAAAACAGTGCAACAATACAGAATGTGCAAAGCTCACTCATAACAAATGACTGGTTAATTATTTCACATGATTTGACAGAAGCCCTTTCACATATTCACACAAAAGGCTTTCTTCACTGTGATTTGAAGGCTAATAATTTTCTTGTGAGTAACAAACATGGCTACATCATCAATTTTGGAAAAGCTTGTGACAGCTCCTTTCCTCCTGCAAAGAATTAATGAAGCCAGTGATATTTTCTCCCTTGGTAAAATTCTGTTGAAAGTAGGTGTTAAGCAAAACATTCCACTTTTGGTTTCCATGGCTCAAGAATGTTTGGATGCCAGCCCTGTAAGAAGACCAACAACAACAGGCATTATGGCAACACTGGCTTTCATAATATCTTACTGAATACATACAATACTTGCTCCTTACTTAAAATACATGCATGGTTTTTCGCGATACTTAAATGTCGGCGATATAACTAACACAGGATCAATCGAAAAGGATAAATTTGGATCCGAGAATTCGAAGTTGTTCGCAAACTTAAAACGGCTAGAATTTCATTTATTTGGTAGCACAAGCGCCGCGACTTGTGATGAATTTCGAGACATGCGGCACGTAAACACAAAATCGATCGACCAAAAAAAAAAAAAAAAAAGTTTGGGATACAGGTGAACGAGAATTTCGAAAGTATTCACAAATTACAGGTTGTAAAATGAAATCGCTTGACTCTTAGTTCGGTTTTTTTTTTTTTTTTTTTTTTATCAGGAACAGATCTTTGGATAACGCTTGTTATCGGGAATACACAGACGCCGTGGAGATGCTAAGGCGAATGTGACAAAAAAGTCGGCTTTGTTTGGACCTCTTGTTATGCAAAATGGTTTTAAAGTGTGATCTACTAATGAGCTTCACTAAACGCGTTTGCGTTTGCGTGGACACGCAAACGCAAACGCGTTAAGTTCAAAACGCCAACGCGTTGGCTCTGCGTGGGGAACGCGTTGAGTGGTTCGCTTATCTTCGAACGGTACTGTATAAGATTAAGCAGGGGTTTCACGGGCCTGACACTGGGCAAATTGACTGGCTGGGAGCATAATTTTTCCTGCATGTTGTGACTGACATAAATCAGAATCAAAACATATTTTGCCTGCTTCCTTGTACATTTCCCATCACCTCAAAATCTTAATGAAACCTCTGCTTAAGAAAGTAATAATTAACACTCTAATCAGGTAAAGTGACCCTAGCCATGTCACGGCAGGAGTCTTTTTATTGGGCTTTGCAAGGTTAAAATTATAATGCATGTGCATGTCTTCAGCAAGTTTGTGTGCTCTTGGTCCAAACTAATTTTGTACTTCTGCTTTACGAATTGTGAATGAATGTTAGAGGGACATTTTTAATAATGCACAGATAAGGTGCTCTAGGGTCCATCAGGTACAAATTACTTCATAGGTCATACTCATGTCTATAATTTTACATCCCTGCTAGATAACATACATGTACCGATTTATTTCCCAATTCCTGCCAATTATTGATCTATGAAATTGAATTTAGGCAAGCAACTGGCAGATCAAACTTTAAATTATAAACCAGAGTTTTAACCAGTTAGGCCACCATAGCCTTCTAACAGGAATATTGACTTGGAAGAGCAACAAAAAAAGCAAGAAATACAATTTTAAAATTTTCCTTCCTTTCTGCCTGCAGTTGTCCCACTGAACTTATTTCCAGCTATTTAGACAAAATTATGGCACCTATCGTCAAAACTCTACCGTCTTACATTAAGGACAGCCAACACGCACTTGAAATTTTTCGTGACTTTAGTTTCCTCGATCAAAACAAACTTATTTTCACCATGGATATAACATCTCTTTACACTGTCATTCCCAATGACGAAGGTCTCCGGGCCCTCAAACATTTTTTTGATCTACGTACTGTTAAAGAACCTAGCTCTGAAACACTGCTCCGTCTGGCCGAACTAGTACTCACACTCAATTGTTTTTCATTCGGTGGTAACTACTACAAACAAACTAATGGCGTGGCCATGGGTACTAAAATGGGACCCAGCTACGCCAATCTTTTTGTAGGTTTTATCGAACACCAATTTTTTAGCCAATACCACGGCCCAAAACCTCAACTCTACGGCCGCTACATTGACGATTGCATCGGCGCTACCTCCTCTACCAAGGAGGAGCTCACTCAATTTATAACCGCCGTCAATTCCTTTCATCCGGCTCTTAAATATACCTGGCAAATTTCCGACACTTCTTTGGCTTTTCTAGACATCAAAATTTCAATTGAAGGCAACGGCTTATGTACTAGTGTTTACTACAAACCTACAGATTCACATAGTTACTTGTTGTATTCATCCTCACATCCATCACACGTCAAGAACTCCATACCTTTTTCACAGTTTCTCAGACTTCGTCGTTTATGTAGTGACGACTCTGATTTTTCCGAAAAATCAGAGTCAATGTGCCAGTTTTTCGATAAACGCGGCTATCCTGTTTCTGTCGTTCAAGCGGGCTACCACCGTGCCCAACTTATCGATCGACAGGCAGCACTACAAACGGCCGAGAAGGAGAACACTGACCGCATTCCATTTACTCTTACATTTCACCCTCACAACCACGCAGTTAAATCTATCATTCTTAAAAATTTTAAATTACTCCAAAACGATTCAGAGACTGGCACTATCTTTTCGCAACCCCCACTTATTTCATTCAAACGCGACAAAAACATAAGCAACTTCTTAGTCAGGAGTTCATTTCAAACCTATGACCAATCTGGAACTTTTAAATGCGCTCGTTCACGATGCAAAACTTGTCCTTTCATTCATAACGTAGAGAAAATATCGGGACCCAAAAGATCCATTAAGATCATTGATCACTTTACGTGTACCTCCGCCAATGTTATTTACTGCATAACTTGCACTTATTGCAATAAGTTATACATCGGCGAAACAGGAAGACGACTGGGTGACCGATTCCGAGAACACCTTCGCGATGTGGAAAGAAATGACAAGGACGCATCCAAACCAGTCGCTAGACACTTTAATCTTCCTTATCATTCTAAACAGCATATGGCAGTTTGCGGCCTTTCCTTACATCTAGGCAGTTCGGAAAGCCGTAAAACACTAGAACAAAAATTTATATTCCAAATCGGCACCCTTAATCCCCACGGAATCAACGAGCGCTTTTCATTCAACTAATTTATTCCTGTTTTCTCGTCACCACATTCCCACCAATGGCGTAGCTCCACTTCCTACATATAAATCCACACACAACCCACAATTCCTCTAATCGCTCTGACGAAGGGCTAACGCTCGAAACGTCAGCTTTTTTACCCTTTACGGTGGCTAATTTACGTTTTCAACCCAGTTGTTAACATTAAATTACCTGCTATACTCTCCCACCGACGCAGCACCACAGTTTCTTTAGAAACTTAACCCTTTATTCATTTTTCTTTATAACATCCTACTCAACAATTCGTTGAAGGAGTATCTGCCATCGGTCTATCAAAACTTACTCAGTTTATCTAGATTTCGACACGTATGGGCGACCAAAAACTGTCCCATGTCTCTACAATTTTAGACGTGGGTTTACTAAAAAACGCACTAGAGATGAACGAAAAACTTCTGATGCTCGTCATATCAGGCGGAAATCGGTTCGCCATAGAGACAATACCTGATGTGTATCGCATCGTCGTTTCCAGCTCCTTTCCTCTATTCGCCATGCTAGTGTGGGATATGGTGAGACTTTGGAAACCATGTTGGGTATTGTATTGTAAAAGTTAAATCAAAGCGTTGCAGCTCAATTCTCTGACAAAATGAACGCACAGGAAGCTCACTAGTAAGTCTACTGTTAACGATATTTTGCTCACAAGAAAATCCTTACAACGTTATAACACTGGAAACAATTTTTCGAAGTACGGCAAAAAGTAGCAGTAGAAACTCCATCGGCCATATAATGACCACAGAATGCATCATTCTCAAATGTCCAAACATTAACCCTTTACACCCTAACATCAGTCTGTATATTCTCCTTACTGTTCTTTATACATTTCCTAAGGTGCTGATAAGGAGAATATGTTTAATAATCAAAAGCTTCCCTGATTGGTGATCACTTCTTGTATTCTCGTGACCTTAATGTATAAATCAGTGGTGATATTGTAAGGAGAAATCAGATGCTGGTCACTCTTTGGGGTCAAAGGGTTTAAGAGGAATAGATCAGTTTTACTCCACACGTCAATTTACGACTTGAAAACTTAAGCGAGAATTCGAAGTCAGTAGTGCGTGAAAACATGCAAACAATTAAAACAAAAAAGAAACTCAAGCGTGACTGGGTGATGATAGCCCAGTTTCTAAATTTAATTTATTTAGCTTCAGTTCATGAGGTCACGCACGTAAATCCTGTTTTTCTTAGCCAGCGTTAAGCCGTACCCTCCACCCCCCAACTGAAACGGAAGCGAGGGAACATCTACGCAAACCTGACACAAATCGTGTTACGTGGCGTCATTTTTTTTTGTGCAATAAAATATATAATTACTTTTCATTGGTTAGCCCTTTTTCCTATTCTTTCGTCAATTCTGATTGGCGAGAGTTGGTAATTTATTTTTATACTAACGAACAAGATGTTAAACAAAATGCTTTCATAGTCAACTTTTCAGACAACAGCTCTCACAGAAGACCGAGTGCACTATCTCAATGTACTTGGGCAAAGAGGCTTGTCCGCCTTCAACTTTCAGTCTCTTTGCGAACAGTGCTACGAAGCTATGAAATAAGAGCTAGTTGTCTCTTGCAGCGATTCTTTCGGCTGAGAAAAGAGTTACTCTTTCTTCACGCTTGCAGCGTAACAATCGGCTTAAAGAAATCTGTAAAAACCTTGATCCAATGGTCCAACTTTTTTCGACGACTGTAGCACTGTTTACAAATGCAAGCAGAAACTGCGTGGACGTTAAAGTCTAGTTTTGCGAGAGCGATGCTAATCGAACATCGTCCTCTTCTTATTCTATACCAAAAATCGCTCATAATCTTTTCCTCTATCCTGAAAACAAAGTTTATATTTGAACTTGGACGCTGAATTGCAAATTTACCCGAAAAAGGGAAAATGAATTCACTTCAATGCTGTTGTTTATCTTGATAACCTTCACTTCGCAAAAAAATATTATCAAGCGACATTATTTTGCATAAACTGACATAATCTGACACAAGTGTCAGGTTTGCGTAAACGCGGTTACCTCGTTTCCGTTTAACCTTGCGGGGGAGGGTACGGCTACACTTAAGCTATGTTTTTCTCAGAATTTCAAATAATAGCTTTTACAGGCTGTGTTTACATACAATTTTGTCGAACGCTAACAATGGAGTCCTTCTTGAGAAACCTCACCAAACAAATCACTTGCTCAATTTGTCTCGAGACCTTCAAAGAACCGAAAATTATATCGTGTTTTCATACGTTTTGCTGTCAGTGTTTGGAAAAACACGCAAGAGTGAGCCAAAGACATGGAAAATTTCGATGCCCCGAGTGTCAGGCAGAAATCCACCTGCCACAAGGAAATCGCTTCGAAGCGTTGCCAACCAGTTTTCTTCACAACAGTTTGTTGAATATCCTTGCCGTTCGACAAAGTGGCGATGGAACAAACATCACTTGTGGCAACTGTAACAAGACCAGCTCCAATGTCCATTACTGCTTTGATTGTGCTCGATTTATGTGCCCTGAATGTCTGAACGCACATAAAATTATGCGCGACGCATTCGAAGGACACAAAGTCATGCCTGTTAAAGACTTCCAAGATCAAGATTACGAAGCTTTGTTAAAGCGACAGCCCTTTTGCACCAAGAAGTACCACGAGCGAGAGATCACGAGATTTTACTGCCTCCAGTGTCAATGTTGTGTTTGCCATCTTTGCATCGTCACGGAACATAAAAGCCATGAGGTTATTTTACTTGACGAAGCAGCTGACAACGAGAAAGGAAATATCATGGCAGATGTTTTAATGAGCCGAACGAGGGAAAACGATTTGAAGGAAACGATTCGACAGTTTCACCACACAGCTTCCAAGCTGCGAGACAATGCTCAACTCGCTAAACGCGGAGTTTCTCAAGAAGCCGAGCAGAAGATCGCAGAGATTCGAGAGCGCGAGCGACAAGCCATTGAATCAATCGAGACAACGTACGTGACGAGACTCCAAAAAATCAACTCGACTCGACAGGCAGTAGAATCTCTGATGAAACAAAACAATAAAGTCGCCGACTTTGCCGAAAACTTGGTGCAGAAAAGCTCGAGCTGTGATATCATGCAAAACAAGCACAATTTGAAACAGAGATTTGAGGAGCTTCGAGAAATCCAAGCTGCACAACACCATCAGACCTCGTTCATCAAGTTTTACCCCACTCCTGCTGTGGGCTTCAACTTGGGGGACATCGCCACCGAAAACATAGCAGACGCAAGTTGGTCCACTCTAGAGGGACTGGATCAAACTTTTCAGGCTGGTTTAGAGGCAAAGTTTATTTTATGCCCCAAAACACCTGATGGAGAAATAAGTAACCAGCCTGATCTCAAACAGCAAATTGAAGTTCTCATACAACCAGCCAAAGATGTCACACAAGTCACTGTTTGCAACACAGACAACGGGAGATTCGAGGTAAAATTTATACCCATAGTACCCGGTGCTTACAGCATTGAAATGAAGATTAATGGAGATACACTCGCCAACTCTCCGTTCACTGTGGCGGTGAAGGAGCGTGAACTTATCGTGGTCGGTGAGTTGGATCTGGATTTATTAGAAGGAGAGCAGGTCGGCCATCTATTTGGAATCGCGGTAAATGCGATAGGGAATATTGCGGTAACTGACATTTGTAAAAACTGTGTTTACATATTCGATAAAAATGGTAAATGTCTGAGAAAAATTGGAGTTAAAGGGCAATTTAAAGACCCATGTGGCGTGACATATTTGAACGATGACGAGATTCTAATTACAGACACAGTTAACAGCAGAATACAACAAATTAATATCCAGACAGGAACTGTTGTGAAAAACTTTAGGAAAAGCAAGCGTAGGAAAGGTTTATCGCCCATTGATGTTTGTTTGGATAAAGAACGTCGCATTGTTGTAACCGAGTTTTCGATTGGTAGCATACAGGTGATGTCACGTGAGGGAGAGACTATTTCTATCTTTGGAAACATCGGCCCAGAAAAATTAAATAACCCAAAGAGCTGTTTGCCTTACAAAAACAACTTTTTCGTCTCCGATAGCGGAGATCAATGCATCAAGGCTTTCGACAATTCCGGAACATTCTTACACAAGTTTGGCAAACTAGGGAATCAAGATGGACAATTTAACTACCCGAATGGTTTGCTTATCGACAGCTCCAATAATCTTCTGGTATGTGATCAGAACAATAATCGAGTTCAGCAGTTTTCTCTGGACGGTCGCTTCACCGGTAAAAGTATCACTCATTTACCTTATCCTCGTGGAATAGCAGCAACACCAGATGGACGTATTCTCGTGACTACCCTTACAAAAATTTCCATATTAAAGTAACTGTTTCAATAGACACTTATTTACTTCGCAATTTGTACTCTACTTCTAATGGCCCGAACTGTTTCTTTGCTAATGTGCAATAATCGGAGACTGGAATTTGTAAGTTAATTCTTCATCTCAAAGAAGCTTTGTCAAATAAAACTGAACTAATTAGCTTTCGGATTTCAAATTTGGTTTACTGGTGGCGTTTATGCATATTCGCAATTATGTAGCACATGTAAATATTAAAGGATTCTGATTGTCAAAGAATATTTTGCATTTGATACGTCGCGCTAAATACATTATTTTCTTTCGATAACTTGGCAGTATTTGCATATTTATTGCTTTCTGCTATTAGAAAGGGCGACACGTGTTAGGTGCTGAAATAGAAGAGTACTATGTGACATCCAGCTCTTGTTAAGCCTCGCTCCCGGAAAAAAAAAAACAAAAAAAAACCAAACCCTTTTTGACTTTGCGAGGTTGAAGGATAACTTTTTGAAGTTCTTATTGTCTTATTACTTGAAGGCGCCTGTAAGACTGTTCTTAATTGTTCTTCCCATTGTTGCAGTGAAAAAGAGGAAATAGGAAGAGGATGTTTCTGAGACATCAAAATCTGCCTTTATTTGGCAGATGGTCATTGCAAAAATAAATTCTAATGGACCAAAATATATTCAACAAATAAAGAAGCCTTGACTGTGCTCTGTTCTATAGTAAAGCAACTCGGCTAGCAAGAGGTATCAATATCGAGCGTTTCTTATTAGCCATGCTCTAACTCTTGAGAGTGAATGACCATTTCCAACGTTCTCAACGATGAATGCAGTTATGAGTACTGTTTAACAATTTCGCTACCCCAAATTCTGCAATCTGATCGGCTACGCTACTCGTTATCTAATCCTTGATAGACGGTGAGTAAAGTGACAAGGCTTAAAAAGCTCTTGTATCTTACAACCGCAATCATATTGCAGGATTTATGATAAACCACTGATAGATTTAAATAAATACTGTTTGCCCTCTGACGAAGGGCTAACGTTCGAATCACTACTTACTATTTCTGTGTTACCTTGCGTTGCTACTGCTGTGATCTGCTTGACTCTTTCCAGGTCAACCTTGATCCACTGTAGATCCCTGCTGGAAGCACAGCACGCTCTGATTTGCTTGCGATCCTGATCATCCTCAAAATACAAACGTGCATTACTTGCACTGGCTACGCAACCACCACCTTGATATACAGACATAAGATTGGTCAACCTGTGGGTGTGGTAGATCTTTTAAGCTAACGAACATACTCAAATAATGTGATGCCCATCAGAGATGAATGCCAATAAGAATGTGAATTTCTATCTGAACAAGCATGAAAATGAGACGCTCATGTTATAGAGAATTATTCGTTTCAGTACATTTTGTAAATGAGGTTGAATAAAGATAAAAGGATTGGAAAAGGGAAATTAAGATAGAAAATTTGACAATACTGAGTTGTGTTTGATTTTGGTTCGATGGAGCGATGTAAAATTTTACAAAAATCATAGTTCGAGATGTTTTGGTTTTTGTTCCTATTTCGATCCTTGCCATGTAAATAGAATTGCCGGTAACCAAGAGATTATAAGCAGTTTATATTCTCGTGCTGGTAACAAAGTACTAAAAGAGAAATGAAAATGCATACCTGGGGCCATTCTGATGAGGCACTGAAGGCGCTGTTTGGGAGTTTGTAATCAAAACTAAGACCAAGAGAACTTGCGCAAGATCCTGGCAAAGGTAAAACAGCAAATTAAGTCCTGACTTTTTTTAAAAAGAAACAGTACTGGGTTACTGTGCGTTATTGAACAAAAATCGTTCTCAAAATGTGGAGAACTGTCTAGCCTTAGGGCCTCTTATCGTCAATTCGGTTTTCATCACCAGCAAGGGTGCTAAGATGTACCTTTTCTACGAACCCGTTTTGCCAGTTTGCACAAGCATGAGGTTTTCCCTTTCACTCCCAAGATCTAAATATAAATTCTATTTACTGCCTTCTATACGTTTTTGAGTCACGTTGGCTGTAAGAGTTTGTTGTTAAATCAAACAATTTTCCCTACTTGGTATTTTCCATTCTTTTCACCACTTTCCTGCCCGAAAATATATTAATGTCGTATGGCCCTTGACGATAGATTGTCTATGAAGCTACGACTTCGCCCAATTTCAACCTTTTAACTCCCAGGAGTGACCAAGACAGAATTTCTCCCTACAATATCAATATAATATCAAGCAGACGAGCGATGAGAACAATCTCCTTTCCTTGATAACTTTAACACAACTTTCATTCTTGTTGAGTGTCATTTTATGCCATAACCCGTTTCCAGGCCTGGTTTGAATAACATACCGTCTCTACTCGATTTATATCATCCTTTTCATTCGACTGCTTTAAAATCGTCGCATCCTTTGATTCAATGAGCAAACAACAAAATTTTATTTTTTATCCGCGTTAGTATGAAAGATCAAGTTTCCAACAGTTGTATATATTTGAGGATAGACCGTGGGGAGGTTTAGGCGCGTAAAAGATAGGAAAGAAAAATAAATATTGAAAATCTCTAAATGCTTTAAGAATTCGCTGATTAATAATAGAAAATACTATTTCGAAGTACCTCTACATACCCAGACAGACCAACACGAAATGAGAAAAAACTAAGAGTTAGTTACTTTTTAAAATTGGAAACATCGGTTGACTCTTGGGCGATGTTCCCATATGATATGTAAAGACGTCTTTCCTTTTTCTGTATAATTTTGACACCAGAAATATTGAACCCGTGAACAGTGAATTGAACTTGGCTGACTCACTCATCAACTTTCTTTCATTTTAAGGAATTGATCTTATAGCTAGTGTCAAATAACAATAAACCGTTCCTTCCAAATAGTCAACATTCAGTTTTAAAATAGCCTGAATTCAACCTTCCACCATCGAAAGCCATATTGCTCGAATGAATGAGCGCCGCACTGAGAGTAATCCCTTCTCACCTGCGCGACGTTCCGCCTCATCCCAGAGGAGGGGGAGTGGGGGATGTTTGTAAGAACCCTGCAGACCATTTTTTTAGACCAATAAATCTGAAAAAAGAAGAGTTTGTTTTCCTACTTGCCGACGGCAATATCTAAAAGTGAAGGCTTACTAATAGCTCCAGTGAATAAACTATCTTAGATAAAATACTCTCCATGACCGTGACGATAGAAGACGATACCCAATCAACTTCACTTTCAAACTCAAATTAGCTTCAGTTTTATTGGTCAGGACTCAGTTATATAAAGGGTGGATAACACTATTAAACTGATAAATCGCTATCCAGCGGATAAGTGATAGCCCAGTTTCTAAAATATAATTAGTTTCAATTCAGAAGGTCACTCGGCTACATCCTGTTTGTCTCGGAATTTTACACGGTTTGCTGTGAGCGTTTAGAAAAACACGCAAAAGTGAGTCAAAAACAAGGAAAATTTCGACGCCCCGAGTGTCAGACAGAAATGTATATACCAAAAGGAAATTGTTTCGAAGCGTTGCCTAAATCGAGGGCGGACTACAATGACCACTGAATGCATCATTCTTAAATGTTTAAAACATAATCAACCCTTTAACCCCTAAAAGTGACCAGCATCTAATTTCTCTTTATAGTATCACCCCTAAATAAGACATTAAGATTATGAGAATATTGAAAAGAAGAATATTCAAAAAGCAGAGGAGCTCTTGATTGTTAAGCAAAATCTCCTTGTTAGCGCCTTAGGAAATGTATAAAAAACAGTATGGAGAATATGCATACTGATCTTAGGGTGTAAAGGGTTAATGAAATGAATCAGCTTAAATCCAAAATAACGTAAGCGAGAAATTGCTTCAAAGCGTTGCCTTAATCAAAGGCGGACTACAATGAACACTGAATGCATCACTCACATGTTTCAAACATAATTAAGAAACAGATCACCTTAAATCCACGCGTCAATTTTTGACCTGACAACGTAAGCGAGAAATCAGTAATGTGTGAAAACATGCAGACAATCAAAACGAAAAAGAAATCTAATCGGCCATGATCTTCTACAAAAAAAGACTGACTGCGTGATGATGCCCCAGTTTCTAAATATATTTAGCTTCAGTTCACAAGGTCAATCAGTTACATCCTGTTTTTCTCGGAACTTCAAACAATAGCTTTTTCAGAGTGCGTTTACAAGCAATCATCTCGTATGTTTACAATGGAGTCCTTCATGAGAAACCTCACGAAACAAGTTACTTGCTCAATTTGTCTCGAGACCTTCAAAGAACCGAAAATTATATCGTGTTTTCACACGTTCTGCTGTGAGTGTTTGGAAAAACACGCAAGAGTGAGCCAAAGACATGGAAAATTCCAATGCCCCGAGTGTCAGGCAGAACTCCTCTTACCAGAAGGAAATCGCTTCGAAGCGTTGCCAACCAGTTTTTTTCACAACAGTTTGTTGAATATCCTTGCCGTTCGACAAAGTGGCGATGGAAAAAAACATCACTTGTGGCAACTGTAAGAGGACCAGCTCCAATGTCCATTACTGCTTCGACTGTGCTCGATTTATGTGCTCCGAATGTCTGAACGCACACGAAATTATGCGCGACGCATTCGAAGGACACAAAGTCATGTCTGTTACAGACTTCCAAGATCAAGATTACGAGGCTTTGTTAAAGCGACAGCCCTTTTGCACCAAGAAGTACCACGAGAGAGAGATGACGAGATTTTACTGCCTTCAGTGTCAATGTTGTGTCTGCCATCTTTGCATTGTGACGGATCATAAAAGCCATGAAGTTATTTTGCTCGACGAAGCGGCGGACAACGAGAAGGGAAACATCATGGCGGATGCCGTAATGAGCCGAACAAGGGAAAACGATTTAAAGGCAACGATTCGACAGTTTCACCACACAGCTTCCGAGCTGCGAGACAATGCCCAACTCGCTAAACGAGGAGTCTCGCAAGCAGCAGAGCAGAAGATCGCAGAGATTCGAGAGCGCGAGCGACAAGCCATTGAATTAATCGACACAACGTGCGTGACGAGACTCCAAAGAATCAACTCGGCTCAGGAGGCTGTTGAATCTCTGATGAAACAAAACGACAAAGTCGCCGACTTTGCCGAAAACTTGGTACAGAAAAGCTCAAGCTGGGACATCATGCAAAACAGGCACAATTTGAAACAGAGATTTGAGGAGCTTCGAGGAATCCAAGCTGCACAACACCATCAGAACTCGTTCATCAAGTTTTACCCCGCTCCTGCTGTGGGCTTCAACTTGGGCGACATCGCCACCGAAGACATAGCAGATGCAAGTCGGTCCACTCTGGAGGGACTGGATCAAACTCTTCAGGCTGGTTTAGAAGCAAAGTTCATTTTATGCCCCAAAACACCTGATGGAGAAATAAGTAACCAGCCTGATCTCAAACAGCAAACTGAAGTTCTCATACAACCAGACAAAGATGTCACACAAATCACTGTGTATAACGCAGAAGACGGTAGATTCGAGGTCAAATTTATACCCAAAGTACCCGGTGCTTACAGCATTGAAGTGAAGATTAATGGAGATACACTCGCCAACTCTCCGTTCACTCTGGCGGTGAACGAGCGTGAACTTACTGTGGTCGGTGAGTTGGATCTGAATTTATTAGAAGGAGAACGGGTCGACAATCTATTTGGAATCGCAGTAAATACGAAAGGGAATATTGCCGTAACTGACTATATTAAAGACTGTATTTACATATTCGATAAAAATGGTAAATGTCTGAGAAAAATTGAGGTTAAAGGACAAGTTAATGGCCTACATGGCGTGACATATTTGAACGATGACGAGATTTTGATTGCAGACACAAATAACGGCAGAATACAACAAATTAATATCCAAACGGGAACTGTTGTGAAAACTTTAGGAAAAGTAGGTGCAGGAATTGGAGAGTTTTCTTTCCCAACTGGTGTTTGTTTGGATGAAGAACGTCACATTGTCGTAGCCGACTGTGATAATAGAAGGATACAGGTGATGTCACGTGAGGGAGAGACTATTTCCATGTTTGGAAACATCGGCTCAGAAAAATTAAAACTACCATGCTGCTGCTTGCCTTACAAAAACAAGTTTTTCATATCCGATTGGGATGATTATTGCATTAAGGCTTTTGACAAGTCAGGAACATTCTTACACAAGTTTGGCAAGAAGGGCAATCAGGAAGGACAATTTGACTTCCCCATTAGTTTGCTAATAGACAGCTCCAATAATCTCTTGGTGTGTGATCTGTTAAATAATCGAGTTCAGCAGTTTTCTCTGGACGGTCGCTTCACTGGTAAAAGTATCACTCATTTACCTGAACCTCGTGGAATAGCAGCAACACCAGATGGACGTATTCTCGTGACTACCCCTGAAAAAGTTTTCATATTAAAGTAGCTGTTTCAATAGACACTTATTTACTTCGCAGTTTGTATTCTACTTCTAATGACCCAAACTGTTTCTTTCCTAATGTGCTATACTGATTAGAGACTGGAGTTTGTAAGTTTATTCTTCTTCTCGAAGAAGCTTCATCAAATGAAACTGAACTAATTAGCTTAGAGATTTCAAATAATATATGTTAGAGGCATTTATGCATATTCGTAATAATATAGCACATTTAAATATTATAGGATTCTGATTGTTAAAGAATATTTTGCACTGAGGAAGTCGCATTAAATACATTATTACCATTCGATAACTTAGCAGTAACTGCATACTAGAAAGGGCGATACGTGCCAGGTGCTGAAATAGACGAGTACTATGTGACATCCAGCTCTTTTTAGGCCTCGCTCCCGAAAAAAAAAATCCAAAAAAGACGCTTTTTGGGGTTGCGTGACTTTATTAGGTTAAAGAAAAACTTTTTGAAAATTCTCATTGTCTTATTATTCCTTGAAGATGCTCATAAGACTGTTATTAATTGTTCTTCCCATTGCCATAACCCTGGAAACAATATTTTTAAAGTACAGCAAATAGTAGCAATAGAAATTCCATCGGCCATCTAATGACCACGGAATGCATCATTCTCAAATGTTTAAACATTGAGCCTTTACACCCTAACATCAGTCTACATATTCTCCTTACTGTTCTTTATACATTTCCTAAGGTGCTGACAAGGAGAATATGTTTAATAATCAAAAGCTTCCCTAGTTGGTGATCATTTCTTGTATTCTCGTGACCTTAATGTGTAAATCAGGAGTAATATTGTAAGGAGAAATCAGATGCTGGTCACTCTTAGGAGTCAAAGGGTTAATTAGGGATTGATCATCTTTGCATCGTGACGGATCGTAAAACCATGACGTTAATTTGCTCGACGAAGCAGCGGACAACGAGAAAGTAAACATCGTAGCGGATGCTGTAATGAGCCGAAGAAGGGAAAACGATTTCAAGGAAACGATTCGACAGTTTCACCACACAGTTTCCGAGCTGCGAAACAATGCCCAACTCGCTAAACGCGAAGTTTCGCAAGCAGCAGAGCAGAAGATCGCAGAGATTCGAGAGCGCGAGAGACAAGCCACTGAATCAATCGAGAAAACGTGCGTGACGAGACTCCAAAAATCAACTCGGCTCGGGAGGCTGTAGAATCTTTGATGAAACAAAACGACAAAGTCGCCGACTTTGCCGAAAACCTTGGACAGAAAGCTCGAGCTGGGACATCATGCAAAACAAGTACAATTTGAAACAGAGATTTGAGGAGCTTCGAGGAATCCAAGCTGCACAACACCATGAGACCTCGTTCATCAAGTTTTACCCCACTCCTACCGTGGGCTTCAACTTGGGCGACATCGCCACCGAAGACATAGCAGACGCAAGTTGGTCCACTCTAGATGGACTGGATCAAACTCTTCAGGCTGGTTTAGAAGTAAAGTTCATTTTATCCCCAAAAACACCTGATGGATAAAATAAGTAGCCAGCCTGATCTCAAACAGCAAATTGAAGTTCTCATACAACCAGAGAAAGATGTCATACAAGTCACTGTTTGCAACACAGACAACGGGAGATTCGAGGTGAAATTTATACCCAAAGTACCCGGTGCTTACAGCATTGAAATGAAGATTAATGGAGATACACTCGCCAACTCTCCGTTCACTGCGGCGGTGAAAGAGCGTGAACTTACTGTGGTCGGTAAGTTGGATCTGAAGTTGTTAGAAGGAGAACGCGTCGACGATCTTTTGGAATCGCGGTAAATACGAAAGGCAATATTGCTGTAACTGACAATGGTAAAACTGTGTTTACATATTTGATAAAAATGGTAAATGTCTGAGAAAAATTGAGCTAAAGGGGAATTTGCAGCCCCATCTGGCCTGACATATTTGAACGATGACGAGATTTTGATTGCAGACAGAAATAACAACAGAATACAACAAATTAATATCCAGACAGGAACTATTGTGAAAACTTTAGGGAAAAAAGGGGTAGGAATAGGAGAGTTTAATCACCCAATTGATGTTTGTTTGGATGAAGAACGTCGCATTGTTGTAACCGAGACTTCGAGTAATAGGATACAGGTGATGTCACGTGAGGGAGAGACTATTTCCATCTTTGAAAACATCGGCCGAGAAAAATTTGGAATACCGTGGAGCTGCCTGCCTTACAAAAACAAGTTTTTTGTCTCCGATAGCGAAGATCGTTGCATTAAGGCTTTCGACAAGTCAGGAACATTCTTACACAAGTTTGGCAAACTAGGGAATTAAGATGGACAATTTAACAACCCGAAATGTTTGCTTATAGACAGCTTCAATAATCTTCTGGTTTGTGATAAGTTCAATAATCGAGTTCAGCAGTTTTCTCTGGACGGTCGCTTCACCGGTAAAAGTATCACTTATTTACCTTATCCTCGTGGAATAGCAGCAACACCAGATGGACGTATTCTCGTGACTACCACTAAAAAGATTTTCATATTAAAGTAGCTGTTTCAATAGACACTTATTTGCTTCGCAGGTTGTATTCTACTTCTAATGACCCGAACTGTTTCTTTCCTAATGTGCAATAATCGGAGACTAGAATTTGTAAGTTTATTCTTCTTCTCGAAGAAGCTTTGTCAAATACAACTGAACTAATTAGCTTTGAGATTTTAAATTTGGTTTGCTGGTGGCGTTTATGCATATTCGTAATAATGTAGCACATGTAAATATTAAAGGATTCTGATTGTCAAAGAATATTTTTCATTTAATACGTCGCGTTAAATACATTATTTTCTTTCGATAGCTTAGCAGTAATTGCATATATATTTCTTTCTGCTATTAGAAAAGGCGTACGTATCAGGTGCTGAAATAGACGAGTACTATGTGACATCCAGCTCTTGTTAGGCCTCGCTCCCGGAAAAAGAAACCAACAAAAAACTAAACCCTTTTTGACTTTGCAAGGTTGAAGGATAACTTTTTGAAAGTTCTAATTGTCTCATTACTTCAAGGTGCCTGTAAGACTGTTCTTAATTGTTCTTCCCATTGTTGCATTGAAAAAGAGGAAATAGGAAGAGGATGTTTCTGAGACATCAAAATCTGCCTTTATTTGGCAGATGGTCATCAGTGAAAATAAATGCTAATGGATTAAAACACATTCAACAAACAAAGAAGCCTTGACTGTGCTTCGTTCTGTAGTAAAGCAAGTAGGAAGCGGCTAGAGCAAATAAGAATTGTAGAGAGAAACACGAGACGTAGGGGAGCAATTGAGTGAATAATCTGATTGATTGTATGAGACCACTGGTCTTATTCAACCAAACAGATTATTCTCTCAATTGAAAGCTTTCTAAACTGTCAAAACTTTTACAATCTGTAGGTTGGATTCAACACTATGACTTCTGCTTGAAGCTTTTTTTTTTCTTAATAAAGAATCTGAAAGTGAAACGTTCATGAAATCCGGCTTCCTGGAATTCTCTGGCCGCAGGAGAAAGTATCCAAGAGAAGTCTCGAGGTGGATTTATACGTTTTAATAAACAAGGTTAAGAGTGCTGACAACACTTCGGTTTACGAAAATTATAAGAGGTGTGTTTCCGGACACGTTGTTATACTTCTGTAGTCGAAGCTCAGATTACACGATTGCGTAATGTGAGTCCCAGTCCCCGACACCGGCTGAATTGTGGCTCATGTAAACACGCAAGTTTTTTAGCATGACAATGATAAAAGAAACCACTCACGGCGTGTGTTTTATGAATGAACGACAACATGAAGATTTCTCGGGGTGAGAGCGCCGTAAAACTCGGCTGCCGTGACTGATGTGACCTTCCACTCAACTAATTGGAAAGGTCGTTTTGTTTTCCTACTTGTCGACGGCAATATCTAAAAAGTGAATGCTTACTGATAGCTCCAGTGAATAAACTGTCTTAGATATATGACACTCTCCAGACGATACCCGATCAACTTCGATTTCAACTCAGTCAAATTAGCTTCCGTTTTAATGGTCAGGGCCCAGTTGTATGAAGGGCTGATAACACTATCCAACGAATAAATCGCTATGCAGCGGATAAGCGATAGCAAAACGTATAGCGTTATCCACCGGATAGAGATTTATCCAGTGGACAGTGTTATTCGACCTTCGAACAACCGGGGCTTAGAGGTTATCGCTGACATCGATGTCTCTTTTCAACATCCTGCGCAACAATTAATTGAAGGAGTATCTGCCATCCGCTTATCAAAACTTCCTCACCTTATTTAGATATCGACGTCTATGGGGCACCAAAAACTGTCTCATCTCTATACACGTTTACACGTGGGTGTTCTGGAAAACGCACAGGCCACGAACGAAAAACTTCTGAAGCTTTTCATATCAGGCGGCAATCGGTTTGCCATAGGGAAAATCCCTCAGGAGTAACGCATCGTCGTTCCCGGCTCGTTTCCCCTTCTCGTCATGTTAGTGTGAGAAATGGCGAGACCCTGGGAACCATGTTGGGGCTGTAGTATAGAAGTTAAATAAAAGCGTTGCTGGTCAATCATTTGACGAACTATCCCCACAAGAAGCTCGCCAGTAAGTCCACTGTTAACAATATTTTGCATAAAAAAAAAAATCCTTACACCGTCATAACCCTGGAAACAAGGAACGGCACACAGTACTAGTAGAGCCCCATCGGCCATACAATGACCACGGAATACATCATTATCAGTTGTCTAAACATTAACCCGGCTTTACATCCTAACATCAGTCTACATATTCTACTTACTGTTCTTTATACATTTCCTAACGTGCTGACAAGGAGAATATGTTTAATAATCAAACGCTTCCCTAGTTGGTGATCATTTCTTGTATTCTCGTGTCCGTAATGTTTAAATCAGGGGTGATATTATAAGGAGAAATTAGATGTTAGTCACTCTTAAAGGTCAATGAATTAATGAGGAACAGCTCCACACTTCAATTTACGACTTAAAAACGTAAGCGAGAATTCGAAGTCAGTAATGCGTGAAAACATGCAAACAAACAAAACAAAAAGAAATCTTATCGGTCATGATCTTCTACAACAAAAGCGTAACTGCGTGATGATAGCCCAGTTTCTAAATATATTTAGCTTCAGTTCATAAGGTCACTCAACTACATCCTGTTTTTCTCGAAATTTCAAATAATAGCTTTTTCAGGCTGTGTTTACCAGCAATCTTGTTGAACGCTGACAATGGAGTCCTTCTTGAGAAATCTCACTAAACAGGTTACTTGCTCAGTTTGTCTCGAGACCTACAAAGAGCCGAAAATTATATCGTGTTTTCACACGTTCTGCTGTGATTGTTTAGAAAAACACGCAAGAGTGAGCCAAAGGCATGGAAAATTCCGATGCCCCGAGTGTCAGGCAGAAATCCACTTGCCAGAAAGAAATCGCTTCGAAGCGTTGCCAACCAGTTTCTTTCACAACAGTTTGTTGAATATACTTGCCGTTCGGCAAAGTGGCGATGGAACAAACGTCACTTGTGGCAACTGTAAGAAGACCAGCTCCAATGTCCATTACTGCTTTGATTGTGCCCGATTCATGTGTTCCGACTGTCTTAACGCACATGAAATTATGCGCGACTCCTTTGAGGGACACAAAGTCATGCCTGTTAAAGACTTCCAAGATCAAGATTACGAGGCTTTGTTAAAGCGACAGCCCTTTTGCACCAAGAAGTACCACGAGCGAGAGATCACGAGATTTTACTGCCTCCAGTGTCAGTGTTGTGTTTGCCATCTTTGCATCGTCACGGATCATCAAAGTCACAAAGTTCAATTGCTCGACGAAGCGGCTGACAACGAGAAAGGAAACGTCATGGCGGATGCCGCAGAGAGCCGAACAAGGGAAAAAGATTTAAAGGAAACGCTTCAACAATTCCAAAACACAGCAAACAGCCTGCAAGAAAATGCCCGTGTCGCTAAACGAGGAGTCTCTCAAGCAGCCGAAAAGATGATCGCAGATATTCGAGAGCGCGAGCGGAAAGCCATTGAATCAATCGACACAACGTGCGTGACGAGACTCCAAAAAATCAACTCGGCTCGACAGGCAGTAGAATCTCTGATGAAGCAAAACAACAAAGTCGCCGACTTTGCCGAAAAACTTGGTACAGAAAAGCTCGAGCTGGGATATCATGCAAAACAAGCACAATTTGAAACAGAGATTTGAGGAGCTTCGAGGAATCCAAGCTGCACAACACCATCAGACCTCGTTCATCAAGTTTTACCCCACTCCCGCCGTGGGCTTCAACTTGGGCGACATCGCCACCGAAGACATAGCAGACGCAAGTCGGTCCACTCTAGAGGGACTGGATCAAACTTTTCAGGCTGGTTTTGAAGCAAAGTTCATTTTATCCCCCAAAACACCTGATGGCGAAATAAGTAACCAGCCTGATCTCAAACAGCAAATTGAAGTTCTCATACAACCAGACAAAGATGTCACACAAGTCACTGTTTGCAACACAGAAAACGGGAGATTAGAGGTGAAATTTATACCCAAAGTACCCGGTGCTTACAGCATTGAAATGAAGATTAATGGAGATACACTCGCCAACTCTCCGTTCACTGTGGCGGTGAAGGAGCGTGAACTTATTGTGGTCGGTGAGTTGGATCTGACTTTATTAGAAGGAGAACGGGTCGACGATTTATTTGGAATCGCGGTAAATACGATAGGGAATATTGCCGTAATTGACATTGGTAAAAACTGTGCTTACATATTCGATAAAAATGGTCAATGTCTGAGAAAAATTGGTCTTGAGCAATTTCGAGACCCACTTGGCGTGACATATTTGAACGATGACGAGATTTTGATTGCAGACGCTGGTAACGGTAGAATACAACAAATTAATATCCAAACAGGAACTGTCGTGAAAACTTTAGGAAGAGCAGGTGTAGGAAAAAAAGAGTTTCATATTCCTTGTGATGTTTGTTTGGATGAAGAACGTCGCATTGTTGTAACCGAATTTTGGAATAGTAGGATACAGGTGATGTCACCTGAGGGAGAGACTATTTCCATCTTTGGAAACATCGGCCCAGAAAAATTAAACAAGCCAAAGAGCTGCTTCCCTTACAAAGACAAGTTTTTCATATCCGATAGCGGAAATCATTGCATTAAGGCTTTCGACAAGTCGGGAACATTCTTACACAAGTTTGGCAAACAGGGCAATCAAGATGGACAATTTGACAACCCATATGGTTTGCTTATAGACAGGTTCCATTGCCTTTTGGTGTGTGATCAGTTCAATCATCGAGTTCAGCAGTTTTCTCTGGACGGTCGCTTCACTGGAAAAAGTATCACTAATTTAAGTAATCCTCGTGGAATAGCAGCAACACCAGATGGACGTATTCTCGTGACTACCCCTGAAAAGATTTTCATATTAAAGTAGCGGTTTCAATAGACACTTATTAACTTTGCAGTTTGTATTCTACTTCTAATGGTCCGAACGTTTTCTTTCCTTAAGTGCAATAATCGGAGACTGCAATTTGTAAGTTTATTCTTCTTCTCGAAGAAACTTTATCGAATACAACTGAACTAATTAGCTTCGAGATTTTCAATTTTGTATGTTAGTGGCATTTATGCATATTCGTAATAATGTAGCAAAGGAAAATATTATAGGATTGTGATTGTTAAAGAATATTTTGCACTAAATACGTTGCATTATGAACATTATTACCATTCGATAACTTAACAGTAATTACATATATATTGCTTTCTTCTACAAGAAAGGGTGACACGTGTCAGGTGCTGAAATAGACGAGTGCCATGTGACATCCAGTTCTTTTTAAGATCTCGCTCCCCTTAAAAAAAAAAAAATAAACACACAGACACAAAAACAACCACTTTATGCGATTGCGTGACTTTATAAGGTTAACCCTTTAACTCCCAAGATCTGACTGTTAATTCTCCTCTCTTGCTGCTACACATTTCCTTGTAAATATGCAACAAGGGTTTGGTGTTATAATGTGGATCACGATAACAATATCTATCTGATAAGTTTGAATATTCTCATCACCCTGTTTGCTGGATAATTTTTAGATATTATAGTGAGAAGTTACATGTGAATCACTTCCGGGTTAAAGAATAACTTTTTACAATTCTAATTGTCTTCTTACTTGAAGGTGCTTGTAAGACTGTTCTTTATTGTTCTTCCCATTGCTGTAGTGAGAGAGAGGGATTGGAGAGAGGATGTTTTGAGACATCAAAATATGCCTTTATTTGGCAGATGGACATCAGTGAAAATAGATGCAAATAAATCAAGACATATTCAACATATTCGAATGTGCTCTGTTTTGTCGTAAAGCACATAGGAAGCGCCTAGAGCACGAAAGAAGTGTAGAGGCAAATCCGAGACGTAGTCGAGTGTCTCAACTTTTGAGTGCAACTGAGAGTATGATCTGCTGGTCTTATTCAATCAATCAGATTATTCTGTTAATTAAAAGCTTTCAAAAATGTTCAACCATCAGCAAGGTTGATCTGATGCGAATTACAGAATTCTAGAAAAATGTGAGCGCAGCGCATTTATATTACTTGTTCACCAATCGAACAGTGTTCCACTGTGAAAAAGTATTCCTGTTCTCGTTCGGTGGTTCCACCAACAGAAAATAAACCAATGTTCAACTAATTCAGTGAAATTAACAAGATTTTATTTCAAAAAAATTTATGATTTTAGCTATAGCCAGACTTTTTGTTTTTCTCTTAACAGCTCCTGGTAGCCGCTGACACCAGATCTAAGACAAATATGGAGACAGCTTCCCAGCTAAATGAACGCTACAAGACTGTACAGCCGATAAACGTAGACTACTGTAACACAGGTTAAGACAGGGGTCACCTCAATCCAAACTTCTATCAATGTGGAAAAGGAAGAACAGCAACTTTTACCTTGACAAATGCCGTTTCAAGATCCCTGCTTTAACCAGCAGTCGTGGAAGAAAATGGAAGAGGTTGCTTTGAAAACAATGAGGAAAGATTGCTCTTTTCCCGGCGCCAGACGTTATTTTATGACGGGAATTGTTTAGCAGGGAGTACGAATTCCAAACAGAGAACATGACCTGGAAGGCTCAGGTTAATTAAGGCCTGGGTCACCCTGTCTTTAACCCATATTTTCACAAAATTGAAAATAACTTAGCTATTTTGCGAGGGATTTTTCTCATACTTGGCAGAAATGTGTATCACTACCCTCTCTCTCGGACTGAATTGTGGCAGCGTAATATGATACTCTCAACAGCCAAAACAGTTAATTTAGGCGCCAAATTCGTCGGTTGCTTTCTTGAGCAAATTCCCACCATTAAACACGAGGCAAATCAAAATGCAGTTATCGCTATGAATATTTGAGACGTTTTTCATTGTTTTCCCACTTGAATGGCTGCAAAAAAAAAGAGATGTGCTAGGCAGATTAAATCAAGTTTTGTCTCTGCGAAGCTGCTTCCTCTATCATGGTTTTCGCCCGAAAACATCTTAGCCTTTTTACCTGGTTCCAACCGCTATCAACGAAAGTAATCCCACAGGTTCCTATTTATTTGGAAAAAAGACAAATTAAAACTGTTTAAGAGGTGGGAATTTTGAAAACTCGCAGTCACGTAATTCAACTTAGTGTCCGCCATTTTGACACGCGAGTCACGCGAGTGTTCAGAAGCAATAATTTAACGGCTGATACACTACCAAATACTAATTGAGCAATCTCAGAAGTAATACAGGCAAACTTTGTATACTTTTGGTGATATTTATTTCTTTTCTCGTTTTCTGAGGTCGATTGCATCTCTGTAAATCCAAGGTTAGATCGCCTTTGACAGTTCTAATAAAACACAATTGCAATTTTGGCGCAAAACTTGAAAGTTATCGCACTGATTCCTTGAAACTCTTCAAGGTTTTGTTCCCTAACAACGGTACTACTCGATAACGAGCTAAGTGTATTCGTGTGAAACGAAAATGTCTGTCATTTTTAATTGTGCGGGATTTGCAAGAGTTGCTGTAAAGGAGAGCTTTCGTAAGGTTGGAAGTGCTTCGGTTGAAACTAACCCTAGTGAAAAGTGGAAGAACTATCTTGCAGCGTTCGAGGGTGACAGTCAGGAAGTCTTTGCGGTCGAACGTTCCACCTACGTCAAGAAATCCAAAGCAATTTACAGCTCTTTCCGAAAGATGAACTCAAAAGCCAGGGCCCAGTACCAAGACACGTTTTCAATGGTAAACTGGAAAGCGCTTAATACAGCGCAGAAGAAACAGCACACACTGTCAAATTGTGGAGGTTGTCAAGTGCACTATTATGCCATCCATAATTTTTTCCCAAGTGGAGAAACTTTCAAAACCCGAAAAACTTTTAAAAGAGGCCCTTATTGAAAGTGGGGTGAAGACACAAAGTAAAGTGAAACCAACGCAAAAAGCCATTAAAACTGCTGTAAAACACATTTATTCAAAAGTGAATGGCCACTTTGAGAAAATATTTAAAATAAGCCTTGCTGAAGCACAAACAAAAGTGAAGGAACTTCAGCTCCAAAAAAAAGAAAGAGGCAATTGAGAAAAGCGGCAGCGTCGAGGGAGAGCACGCCAAGGAAAAAAAAATAAAATCCAATGCTAATGTCTAGTCCATCTGGAGGAGGAGTAATGTTTCTACTTACTTTGCAGTAATTTGCATGCCAAAACAATGAGATCAACAATCTTCACCTTTACTTGTGTTGCAATCTAGCATTTATTTAAGCACACTCTCTATAATATATTTGCCTTCATTTTCCAGTTTTTTTAAAAAGGAATGCAAGTACCAAATAATCCACTGTAAACTTAATCAATCATACTGAACTTCTTCCAACCAATGAAGAGAATATAATACTGGGAGAAGGATCCAATGGTCAATGCCTTCTGAGACAGTACACACGATTTGATATAAAGGTTGTGGAAAAACAGTCTCTGATGCAGGACACCACAGAGATAATGAAGGAGGCTCACATTATGCAGGCACTCGCACATAAAAATATCCCAACCATAATAGGTGTGCAGCTTCAAAAGCAGCCCATTTCCTTAATAATGGAGTTTAAAGGGGAAGACAATACATCTGTAACAATAAGCAAACTATTGTCTTGTCAGAAAAAACAGTGCAACAATACAGAATGTGCAAAGCTCACTCATAACAAATGACTGATTAATTATTTCACATGATTTGACAGAAGCCCTTTCACATATTCACTCAAAAGGCTTTCTTCTTCACTGTGATTTGAAGGCTAATAATTTTCTTGTGAGTAACAAACATGACTACATCATCGATTTTGGAAAAGCTTGTGACAGCTCCTTTCCTCCTGCAAAGAATTAATGAAGCCAGTGATATTTTCTCCCATGGTAAAATTCTGTTCAAAGTAGGTGTTAAGCAAAACATTCCACTTTTGGTTTCCATGGCTCAAGAATGTTTGGATGCCAGCCCTGTAAGAAGACCAACAACAACAGGCATTATGGCAACACTGGCTTCCATAATATCTCACTGAATACTATAAGCTTAAGCAGGGGCTGGGCAAATTGACTGGCTGGGAGCATAATTTTTCCTGCATGTTGTGACTGACATAAATCAGAATCAAAACATATTTTGCCTGCTTCCTTGTACATTTCCCATCACCTCAAAATCTTAATGAAACCTCTGCTTAAGAAAGTAATAATTAACACTCTAATCAGGTAAAGTGACCCTAGCCATGTCACGGCAGGAGTCTTTTATTGGGCTTTGCAAGGTTAAAATTATAATGTATGTGCATGTCTTTAGCAAGTTTATGTGTGCTCTTGGTCTAAACTAATTTTGTACTTCTGCTTTTTACGAATTGTGAATGAATGTTAGAGGGACATTTTTAATAATGCACAGATAAGGTGCTCTAGGGTCCATCAGGTACAAATTACTTCATAGGTCATACTCATGTCTATAATTTTACATCCCTGCTAGATAACATACATGTACCAATTTATTTCCCAATTCCTGCCAATTATTGATCTATGAAATTGAATTTAGGCAAGCAACTGGCAGATCAAACTTAAAATTATAAACCAGAGTTTTAACCAGTTAGGCCACCATAGCCTTCTAACAGGAATATTGACTTGGAAGAGCAACAAAAAAAGCAAGAAATACAATTTTAAAATTTTCCTTTCTGTCTTTGTAACAAGGGCAACCTATCCTGCTCTTAGGATGGCACATCTTTTATGAGTAGGGCTGAGAAGATGACACATCTTATACCAGTTTGTGTTTGCGCTTGTCACAAAAAAAACAGTGCCCCACTTGGGGCAACAGTAAGCACTGGTAATTAATCATGTCTTATCAACAAAGAGAGAAGGCTATGGTCAGAATCATATGCATGTATCAGAACTTTTGTGATGCATTTGAATTAAAAGATACTCCGCTGGTGTAGTGGGTAGAATATTTAC